ACTTTTTAGTGACGCTTCCTCATAATATAAATATACAGCGTCGATACGTGAATAAATAATTGAAAAATTTTTATTGTTAACTTCTATTTCGAGCTTTTTATGAAAGCACTGATATTTGTGATATTTATATATAATAATAGTGAGTGTATAGAGAGAATTAATGGAGAGTAAAATAATACTTCGATAATTTGCAATTATAAACGCTAACAATAATTCATTCATCGATTCTTCGAGAATTATCCCAAAGATGAGATAATATTCGTGACTTAAATCCGTTCTAATAGTGACATGTTTACTTAACACAATTTCGCCACAAGCAAGGAGGATTTGCTGTTGCAATGAAAGCTTAGATTTCCACTTCACGTCCCACTTGCCTGCTCCTCTCATCTACTCTCCCTAATCTGCTTTCGCACAAGCAAGGACAATGCGACTCATTGAGATGTATCGCATTGGAACTTAAGCTATCGATCCGCCGATAACGGTATTCTGTGAATCGTTAGGCTATCGGGTTAGCCTCACGTTAATACTTTTTTAACTACCTCTCTTTATAGCCGTAATAATCATGACTTCGTTCGTTATTATCGTTCGGATTGACATTGACGTATGTGTCGTGATAATCTCTTTATCTCTGTGATATTGTGCTTACCTCTGTCTGGTCGATATGAATATAAAGTAGATGGCTGATTATGGATATTACGTGGAAATTACGCTCGCGTGTATTTTCGTCGTTAATACGTAATCATTTGTTGTAAGGAGAACTGAGTACTTCTCACTAAGCGAGTAAATCGCAGGACAAATTGCCGCGAAAATTGCCGACTACACGAAACTTAAAATTTGCATAGATTTATACGACGAAAAAAAAGTACGCAGCACAGGAGGTGCAACAATTAAATGCACCCTTTTACATTTGTCAATTAACGCAAATATTGCAATTGTTACACTGAAGTTGCGATTTGTTCAAAGTAACGCATTAAAATGTCGCGAAGAAATCCTTGCGACCTGCTGCACTTGCGGCACATAAATCTGTAACTCCTGTGTGTTTACCGTACATCTCTAACCTTTCTTTTGTTGTGCCGCGAGCGAGAAAACTCCGCAAACTTTTTCTCCCGATGCACACGACAACCGCTTCATGCATCTTTGGTGCACTTTACGGGCGCATCGACAGAACGAAGTTCTCCGTGTTCACTGGCTCCGAATCCGCGATCGCCATACTCTGTTACTGACACTCGACTAAAAAATTCTTCCTTCTTTTGCGACAACGTTTAGGAATTTACTCGTTCTTTGCAGTTAGTTTGGTGAATTGTTTATAAATTAAAGTATAAGTTGTGCCTCAGGTCAAAAGTACCGTGAATTTAATACTCGTCTTCAGTATCAAAATGTCTATATTCGAATTAAGAGAGTTAAGCAATCCATTTTCATATAACTTTTTCACCATATAGCAAAATTATATATTTTTTTCTAAAGAGAGAAATACTATATCTTTTTTTAAAATCTTTTTTCTAATCTGGAATGATAAATGTTCGTTCATTTATCATGCTTACAGACGATGTCTGGTGTCACATCCATGCATTGTGCGATTATATAATTCATGATTATTACGCATCGAAAAAAAATTTTCTATAATCTCAGAGCATACAAAGTTCACCTCAAGTTTCGAGGTAATATGTAATTTAAAATGTTTTAAAGTAATAAAAAAAGATGTCACAAGATGTTGTGATTTCAGAAAAAAATTAATTCTTATTTATATAAATTCTCGTAATATTTTCGCTGACGTCATTTTGTGTTATTTAAAAATGTCTAATCTCAAAGTACGTAAGACATCTTGTATATAATTTTCAGATGGCATATAAAAATTAGTTGTGAAAAAAAAAGAGAAGCTAGATGCGCGCAATGCACTTCCAAATATGATTCTGGAACTAGTAGACGAATACGAACGACATTTTCCAACGTGAAAGACATGCCAAGTGAAAAGTGTCAACATTTGCAGTGCTTTTAGCATTATGCTTGAGCAGTGCGCCTTCTTGGGCACTTTATGCGCATTGACACATGCTTAATGCTCGCTTCACTCTGAATACACAGTTTTATCATACTTTTTTGAATCCTTTTATCGTACAAATCATGATTGACGTGAATATAAATGGAGCATATACGTATCACCGAATAAACTCTAATTGTTCATTAAAAAGTGAATTCGTGGAAAAGTTATTGTACACAATAGCGCCCTAAAAAAAAACACAGCTCGTTTAACGGAGCAGATATGAACGAGATATGAGAGACTACAATAATGTTTTGATACATGATATATCAAAATTGTGAACGATGATATAAACTATAAACGAATTATTAATATATCTTCTCGTCCCAGTACTCTCTTGACGTATGCTTCAAAGCGGATGAAACGAGTTCTAATGAAAGAGCAGATAAAAATTTTCTGCTGATTGAAAAGTATTAATCTTTATGAAGTCGATTTTCGATGTACAGCAAAATCATGATAAATGTATAAATCGGTATATGCGGTGGATGAATCCATATACAAATTTAAATTATATGCGATATCAATTTGAATGATTAAAACAATAATAACAGAAACTGAAAAAGAACAGACGGATTTTAATAGAGATATTGGATTTTAATTAAATTACGTTTCAACGATTCATTTTAGTAAAGTACATGTACAATTTGATCAGCTTCTATTAATAAATCTTTTATATATTGAAACTATATAATAGTAATAATATCTTTGAGACTTTAATTATTATCTATATTCTGAATTTAAGAGTAAATGTTTATTTAAAATATTCAAAAATATAATTGGACGGAATTTAATTAAATTTTTGTTTGTTCTCAATATTTTACGTGAACATATGTGTTTTAACATTTGAATTTTTTTTAATTAAGTATTTTGTAATTGTATTTTGTAAGAGTTGATAAATAATGATTGATAACGGGAAATATTTTTGCATTACAAAATGATATTTTTATAAATTATTATAATCAATTTGCATAATCAATTTTTGCATGAAATATGATTATAAATTATTATAATCAATTTGTATGTGAATATATACTATACAATTTAACATTAAAATTTTTCTTAATTAAGCATTTTGTAATTGTATTTTGTAAGGGTTGATAATAATTGATAAAGGGAAATATTTTTGCGTCGTAAAATATTTGTATAAATTAATATATAATCAATTTCGTACATTCTATTCCGATTCGTATTTGTTCGTTTCTCTGCATATAGTAGGCGCTCGTCATCGACAACAGGATTATGCAAAGTTGCAACCTTGTTAGACCGAATGCACCTGAAAAGTTCTAATACTTCCGTAAACGACGTTGAATTAAACAGTTTCGAGCCAAAGCTCCTCAGGAATTATACGTTGGCGCTCAGCGCCGCTCGAGATCGACGAGGCTAAAATTTCTCCCGGGAAATTGGCGACTAATCCGTTCATTTCCAAACAAGAAATTAGTTTAGGAAGTCCCGGAATGTCAAACTAGGTTTACGATACTTTTTAACAATACATGACTCTTTTCTTTTTTTGATTATATTCTCTATTACTATTAGAATAAGAATCATTCTTTTTTACTTACACGAATACCAATCATTTATACGTGACTGTGTAGTTACAGCAAATAGTTTGCAGCAATAGTTCTTCACGCGCGTTCCGATATTATTTTTATACGCCAATTAATAAGTACAAGATAACTTCTTTTTTTGTATAAATAAATTGAAACTCAACTTGAAATGGTTATAACGATGTACGATTACGAGACCGTCAACCGACCTGCGTAATTTGCGTAAAAGGCCAAAACTCGAAATTTGTGGTATCTGAACAGCACGAAGTGCGATCGACAGTCTCTTGCAAAATTGACAGCTGAAGCTGCCCATCACAGGGTACGCAAAACTCGAACGTTTGATTTAACCAAGCGTTACGATCGGTAGCGATCAAGCTATCGCGCTATAGTGGAGCGATGGAAATTCGTCAAAAGCGAGCTGCAAGTTACAACCTCTCGAATCCGGCGACATCGATCGAAACAGTAATAGCTCCGCTCTATTTCTTTCTTTACCGTTCCCTGTTCTTCGTACGTTCTTTCCTCTCTTAGCGATTATACTCGAATCTTTTCGCTGCGATTCTCTCCTTTCCCGTTACTGAAAAACCCATTTATCTGTGTACTAGTGTCCCTGTGTCGCTGATAAACCGAACCACCGGCTATCCCGATGAATATAAATCCAATTGCTGTGTACCGACGTATTATCCTAGCTATATTTTTAACAGCGTGATAAACAGCCACGTTACGGTGGAAATCCCCAGAAATTTCTACGTTCGACCGCACTAGCGATCGCGATGCTTTGGATATCGACATAAAAAGCGATTGTACCATACAAGTAATTGTTCCTGCACTCGGAATTGTTTAAAAAGCGTTTTATACATTTGTTTACATCCACAGATACCATCCTCGCCAATCTCTCTGTGATTAAATTAAACAGAAAATTATCATTAGTATAAATTGCGAAATATATAAAAATATATAACCAATTCTTTTTCTATTAAATAAGCCGTTTAATGTTTTAATATTATTGTTTAATTTGATTTCTCGTTTGCTTAAATAAATATATTTGATAGGAAATAATAAAAGAGGAGATAACAGAAATAACATATTGATTTTTTATTGGAATTAAAATTAAAATTATTAATAAAGTTATGTACATATATAAGGAATGTAACCATTGATGTGTGTGTGTGTGTGTGTGTGTGTGTGTGTGTGTGTGTGTGTGTGTGTGTATAAAACAGCATTTTTAAAAGATGGGTTGCTATTACAAAGAGAGAACGTTACTGAAAACATTATTCTCTGCAGATAATTTTTATTATGCAAATCTATTGTTCTTTCATTTATTTACATACAAGTTATAAAAACACACATTTCCATTAATGTGTGTTTTTTTCTTATTAATGTATGTATATATATTTTAAATAGTTATTAAATATATGTTTCAGATGATGATAATGCTGTGCACGAGTACCATCTTCTTAATTTGCGGCGCTACCCATGGAATCATATATCGTAAATCACATTTCTTTTCCGAAGAATTCGCATTAGCGCAAGTGAGTACGAATGTAAACTAAATGATAAACGCACACGCATTGCGACACAATAAATTGGCAGTGAGGGTCAATATATTTTTTTTTGTAGGGCGCGATGATAAAATGTGTATATACTAT